GAAGCATGTCATAAGAGTCAATTAATTGGGAACTTCCTTCAAGGTCGGAGTGCATCTGCCTTAGAGGCAAGAAACCAGCAGTCTGCATACAAATGAGTCAGCTCTGTAAAACGGATGTACACGCAACAAACACTCAGGTTCTGGAACAGGACTGCAGTTCAGAGGTAAATGAACAACCAGAACTTTTGACCAGAGTTTACAGCTTGTGAACGCGAAGAAAACAAAGAAGAAGCCTAGAAGCAGATTTCCATCATTTATTTATCTTGCACTGAAGGATGTGATTGTCCTGTAAATATTAGCCTCATCATAATTAATTTATTGTCTCCAAACCCGGATTGTGAATTTAGCGTCCCGGATTTATTGTATTTCCTTTAGTTTAGGTAGGCATGTTGCATGCCTAAACCTAAACATACTTGTGTCTGAAAGTATGTATGTATGTGAGTATGTGCGTTAGTTAACAAAGGCAGTTTTTTTTTTTTTTAACGCAATCTGTGGATAGCACTAACACCAATTCAAGAACGAAACAGATTAACAAAACCTTGCTAGTTGCCTAAAAAATCTCACATTCACATGCGGGTCGATGAATCACTGATGCCTGCCTATCTCAAGACTACCAAAAAGAATCCCATCGTCTGTGGCAGACGGGAGTGGGATTTGTGAAAGAACAAACAATTATGGGCAAGTCTGGGTACGTGAGGACCGGAGAGGGATTTAGAACATTCATAAAGCCTTTAATAATTGTTAATTAATGCATTTCAATTATTTAACTGTAGCTACATACCCGATATTGCAGTTATGGGCACTTCGTTTTCGTCAAAACCTTTCTCCGCATACGCCTTCTTCACTTCTATACAAGCTGTGTTGAGGCTAAGACACTGAGTGTATGAGATCGCTAGAAAGAGCAGACTTGCTCTAAAACATTGTTGTGTTACAGACACCGACATCTTCGCAAAGTCGGCCATTTTTCCCACTTCAAATACAACAAAACCTTACGAAATCCTTGGTCAGAGAATAATCCAAGAATAAAACGCTATCACAGAACCCTCCACAAGAAACCGCTTGAAGTTAACACATTCGAAACACAACATCGCAACAAGGAATGCATGCTATCTCAGTAACATTTCCCTGCCTCCAGCAAGCACAACCGACCGACCAGGAGCCCTGAAACTTCCACAATGAAACAAACGAATTCTAACGCCACCGGCGTTACACTTTTTCTTCCAGTCGGCTGTTCTTTGTTCCTATACAACAAATGGATTTATTTCCCTATTTATATCTTAAGATATTATTTATTTTCAATTACTTAATCTTTTTCGAAAGATACGCAGGTTTTTATTACTTAAATTTTTAACTTGTTTTATAAATCTATTATTTTTAACAGAAAAGTCATTGTACAATCGTGAAAAATTAGCGGGAGTTAATAGTAACAGCCAGAAGAGTTTCCCCGAAGTTTCCGCAGTATCGATTGGTGGATATTTTTAGTTGTTGAAAAGCGCTAGCAGACGCAAATCTCTGGCGGACAAGGACCTGGTTGGGGGCTCCAGATAGGAGTTCTTTCTGGGGAGGCTACTTTCTTAGCCTATTGCTGAATGTTCTTCCCTGTTGAGGGGTTACCAGACACATGGAGACGTGCTGCTTTTGCATTAAGCGAAACCTTTTCTTCTTCTTCGCGTTCACAGGCTGTAAACTCCACCGGAAAATTCTGACTAAAAAAAAAAGGTAAAGTAGGGAGATGCGAACCAGCGTTATTAATTATAAGTGCTCTGTCACCAGTACGGACAGCTGATAAGTAACTGTCCGCACGCAACTCCGTAGCTGCAGCGACGTTCTTCCATTTACCCCAGAGTGTTAACTCTGGTACCCATTGTCTAGAGGCTGTGTGAACCCCGGAAACCGCCCGGTTTGGAACACTGGCCGCGAGCTGTAGCGAGTCGCAGCTTGATTTGAAAGCAAGTCTCCATTCGACTGCGCTAACGCGGCTCCCTCTGAAGTATCTGATTGTTCAACCACCTATAGAACTTTAGAATAGTTCCAGATCCTGAGTGCTGTATGCACATCCTATAAACACATCTGGCTTATTTGTTTGCAGACTGCTGGTTCCTTGTCTCTTGGGTAGGTGCACTCCGACTTGGAAGGTAGTCGTCAATTAGTGGACAGTTAAACATGCTTTAGGGGAAGGCAGGGGGGGGGGGTCTGTTCTTGCTTTCACTGCAATGAAACCGACACAGGGGTGTAAGCTACAGCTTAGTTGAGGCATCACATTATGCAAGGGCCTAAAAAAAAACGTTTACAAATGAAACTTTTGAAATTAAAAAAAAAAAATTTAGTTGCAACTTCGAGCCTTTTACATGATTATAAGAAATTATTTAAATACTTTGATTTTGGAAACACATTCTGCACTATTTCATTTAATAAGCATTAAATGACACTACATTTCCATTATCTATATATTTAAATGTTTATATGTTTATTTTAGTTTTCTTGGATTAGCTGGTGTAATTTAAAACAGTAGGGGCCTCGGAGCTTTAGATACATTAGTGCCTCATCAAGTATAACTATGTTCCTGCCCGGCGATGAACAAGTTTACTTGTTTCTCTGTATGTAACTTCATGAGAAATACTTTCCTCTCAGAGAATATCAAAGGACCTTCGCGAATGTTGAAATAAGACGTGATATTATAGTACTTGGGACACTCCCATAAGCGCGCCGTCCCCCCCATCTTCAGCAGCAAACGAAGATTTCCAATTCCAGTGCTAACCAGTAACTGTCTGATTGTACATCCGTCTCTCATTTCCCTTGAATGCTGAGCGTCGGCCAGATCTCCTGGTAACTCCCATTCTCCTCAGAGGTAAGGATCTATTTGTGGCTCCGCACAGTTCACTCGCTCCCAAAGGGCCCTCCCAACATCTAGCTTGTCATACATCAGTTCACCAACAAGTGGTGCAGAACAGGCCAGTCTATCTGACTGAGGACTCGCATGAAGGGTAAGCCAATCAATTCCTTTCTATGACAGACTGGATTATGATGATGCTGATAACAACGATGATGCGAGGCAAATAACCAACAATTTGCATACAAATAAGTCAGATCTGTAAAACAGACGTACATGCAACACTCACTTTCTGGAACAAGGCTAGTGTCCAGAGGTGGTCGAACAACCATACATTTCTGCTAGAATTATACTCGGTGAATGCAAAGAAAAAGATCGAAAATAATAAATTCTTTAAAATAACGGCAACATTGATGACAAAGAAACAGATAACCATTGCAGCCTCTGACAACGACAAGAGAGACAGAAGAATACAGCAACAGGCGGAAGCACCTAAAATTATTTCATTACTGTTCGGACGACAAACCCAGCAGTGCCTGACATACTGCCTGATAAATTGTGATTGCGCCTTTCTCTGTCAGGTTTGATTAGGTCTCTGATTATCCCAGGACACTGGCTGCCTCTGTGTTACACGAAAACTCGATTTCAGCTTTCCTAGCCTGTACAACTTTTTTTATTACTGTAAATGTCACTCACTGGTTGTCATGGCGACATAGGAAGTGTTTTTACTGATTACGGGACCTCTGAACCTCGTACTATGCGTTTTTATTTTAGAGAGGATTATTTTAATCATATTGTGTTGCAGTATAGTAAAAGAGATGAAACCTTATTATAAATTTCAGAAAATAGAGTTTTACGACTAATCTTTGGACCCATCAAAGTTGCAAACAGCGTGGAATAATTTGTGAGAAGCTACAACAAAATGCATAATCTGTTTAAATCACGACTGATTACTGGCATCATGAGGGCTTATTGACTGAGAAATTGCTGGGGCATATTCAGAGAATGTAAGTCGACAAAGATGTAAAAACCATACACGAGGAAGCTCAATGGTCTTAGACCACGAGGCAGACCAAGAAGACAATGGAGAGATAACATCCAGACAGACCTAACAATTGCAAAGAAAAGGTCAACCAGAGAGATGAATTGGGGTGTGTGATATATACAGCAATGAACAACGAGGGCTTGGTATGCTGAAGAAAAAGATAAAGAAGAAAATAAAGAAGAAGATAGTAAATGTGGGGGACACTGTAGCGCAGTGGCTAGATGCTCTCCTGTCGGTTTGAAGGTATTGGGTTCGAACAGTTGTTTTTTTTTTTTAATTGCCCAGAATGTCCACACACAAAAAAGGACCAAAAGTCATCAGAAACTCAGAAACAGAACGTATACGTCGTCGCGTGTCAACAAGCACGTGCTCTTTTATTGATTGGTCAGTATTTATAACCTGACGCTGACATGGTCGTGTTAAACCACGAAGAATATCGACAATTATCAGGTGCGAACTATCTTGTGTCGATGAAACAAATGTTGCAAGCAGAAAAGATTAAAAGAAATTGAAGATTTGCTTCATTTTACGCCTGACATCATTTGTTTATGGAAACTGTGCAATATATCTCGCTAATGGTTCGAGGAGGCTTACAATATCCTTCTAAGTTGATTACACTGTTGACATATTTGTCTTATGCTGCTTTGCAGAGGCTCATATCAGCAGAACTAGAAGCTAAATTCATGTCCTGTAAACAGCACAAGAAGCTACTTATGTGCATTGTTACATGAAGTATTCAGAAATATTATGCTGATGAAGTGAATGGTCTGTGTGCTAATGTATGTCCAATCAGGTATTATTTCAAAAGTACTATCTCCACTGTGTAATGTATTTTGAAACAACTACCAAAACATTCAGGGACTGATTTCATCTAACAAGAAGAAACAAACTGGAGAAATTTGCACATCAATTTGCTTAATTAAAGAGATAATTTGTCATCTCTCATCTAAAACCATATGAACATGTTGACTTGTATAGAGTCTCGATCTAAATAGTGCAGAGAAGAAATATTTAGTAGTGCTATAGTATTGTTATAGTATTGTTATGAAACGCTCTGGAAGAAAACTATTGCTTTCATTTTGACTGTGCATAAATGGTGCTACTACACCGTGGATAAATTGTGTCAAGATATTTCGGGGATGCCTTTGTGTAAGTGGTTACAAAAATATTTACTAACTAACCTCTCACAGCAAGTCACTCTTTGCCTCTTTACTAATTGTTGACTAACAGTATAATTATATGTTGTAGAAGTACGCTAAAATAATCCTCAACCATTTGTGTTCATTTCTGCGCACCTTCTTCTTCGCGTTCACTGGCTGTAAACTCTGGCAGAAAGTTCTGGTTGTTTGTCTACATCTGGACTTAAATCTTGCTCAAGACATTGGTTGTCGCGTGCACAAATGTTAAACAAACTTAACTTATGTGTATGCAGACCGCTGGTTCCTTGCCTCTCAGGCAGAAGCATTTCGGCTTTGAAGGAAGCCACAATAAGTCGACTCTTACAACATGCTCGCTTGGGAGGCAGTGATTCTATTCTTGTTTTCTCCACACCGGGGCCCTGGAACCTACAGAGAATGTTTATCTATATGTGTATCTGGCACAGCATTTGGGGCTGTTTGGCTGTTTTAATAAGCTTCACTGTCTAAAGATATATACATATATATTGAAACATCTCATAGGCTAACTTCTGTTTTTGTGACGTACTGTTTAACCTTTCTCTGCAGCTCTACAGGGCTATTTATTCCCAACATGTTTTCATCTGTCATTAGCTTATTGCAGTGTTTCATGTATTGTTTGGGGAAAGGGGATGGGGAGGGGGAGGGTCTTTGGAGTTTTCTTGCTAAAACGTGGTTGAACTCAGGCAGTAGATAGAGCACGGTGCGGGAAGAACGGGTTTCAGATAAAGTCTTCTAATATTGATAAAACAGTAGTAGTTAGATAATCGACCAGTCATCTCCATCTCACTTCAGAATAGCCCACAAGAGCTCAGATCCCATCTTCATCATCTCCCTCAGCCTGTGGCGACTGAAAATAGAGTTCTGTGTTGGTTTACTATACTTCTTTGACAACCTGTATTGTGGTAAGTCTGGTGACTCGTCTGTTGAAGTTCTTGTAATCTTGTCAATGTCACAAATTCACCGCTGTATTTTGGATCAGCTACTCGTCCTGCCCTCCACAAAAACAATGAGAACATCGGCCCAATCCATTCTTTTCCGATCCTGTCCTCACAAACATGAAACTTAATTCCTGTCAGATGAGATTTCCTTAGAGAATCCATTGTCTTCGAACCCATCCTTTCTCAGCCTTCTCAAACATATTCACAGAATCAACAAGCATACTTCTGGGAAAAGGCTGTGACCCTAAAACAGTAACACTCTAAACAGCGCAACGCGTAACAAGTGAATAATAATAAAGGTGATGTTGCGATTAACCCATCTAGGATAGCCGTTGATTTTTATCTTGTCTGACTTTTTGTTAACCACAAAGAAATTTGAACAGGAACCAAATAGACATCAGTAAGGAATTAACAATGTTGCCTTCAACAGGGAAACAACAATTACATCACCCTCCTAACTGGATTTACCTAGTTGTACTCAGTGTTGCCACTTTGGATGTTTTACATCCAGATTAAAAATTTTTCTTTGCATTTAGATGGCGTTTTTGACATTTAGATAGTAGAATTTTTCTATATGTTTTTCATTTGGAATGAATTTATCAAATCTAACCTAAGAGAATGAAATTTGATCTCTTAAATGCTATCTTGACAATAAAATTCGGCCTGATAAGAGTAGGAAAAGGCTGTTCCACTTATCAGCTCCCTGATTGGGTATTAAAAGAAATTGGAACAGCTAAAGCATACCAGAGTCATTTTTGGATCTGAAGCTTCAACTTCATCATCCAAGCTAAGTTTATACTGTGGATCTTGTAAGGCAGACTTCAGTAAAGATGAGGACATGATTCTATAGGGTAAGTCATATCAATTGCTTTATAATTTGTGAAGCTTTCCATTCGGATGTTTTTCTAGATGTTTTTTGTGTGTGCAAATTTAGATGTTTTAAAATATATTTTCGACTCCGTTTTGGATGTTTTTTGTCAAAGAGAAGTGGCAACACTGGTTGTACTCTTGTTTTTTTTTCGGAGCTTCAACAGCTGTAAACTCTGGCGGAAAGTTTTGGTTGTTCGTTTGCTTTGTTCACTTTACTCTTGCTCCAAAACTTGAGTTTTACATGTACACTCGTTTTACAGATTTGGCTTATTTGCATGCAAACTGTTGGTTCATTGCTTCTCATGAGGATGCACCCACACTTCGAAGGAAACCCGTAATGCTTGTTTTGGTGTGGGGGGGGGGGTGTGACGGAGGTTTGTTCTTGCTTTCTCTACAATGGGTTACATAAATCCACACTAACAATGATGTCTTGCGCTTGCTTAGTTAGAGATCCTACTATCCCTTAACAAGGATGTCGTAAAAGACGACTAATTATGAGGGGAGTTTCCTTCAAAGTTGGAGTACATCAGGCGGAGAGGCGAGGAACCAGAAGTCTGGATACAAATAATACGGGTGTGTAAAACGGACCTGGATGCAAAAGTCAAGTTCTGGAACAAGATTAAAGTCCACAAGTGGACGAACAACCAAAACTTTCCGCCGGAGTTTTGAGCCGGTGAATTCGAAAAGAAGAAGAGGAAGAAGAAGAAGAAGAAGAAGAAGAAGAAGAAGAAGAAGAAGAAGAAGAAGAAGAAGAAGAAGATTGATTGTTTAGGAATACATAACAAGGAATACAATATTCCTAGGAACTGTTAATCAAAGATGGTGACATTATGTCCATACGGTTTACAGGTGAGTGAAATCGTCTCACAATGTAATACTCGATGTTTACCAATGTTCGATTCTACCAGTTGATGGCTTAAAAAAAGATAATTCTTGTGGATTTCATATAATGGCACGAAAGTCGCACCGTGGAAGATATTAGGACCTCACGAACCGACGCTTTTCAGATCGCCACACAAAGAACTTCGCTACGACCATCCCCACAGGCAAGAATCCAGTTTGTAGATATCGCATTGGGACTATTCTCTTGTTTAGCCCCACGGTGAGACCCAGGAACCCACACGGGGAGGTATCAAACAATGTCCGGGACCCGGGAACCCACACGGGGAGGTACCAGACAATGTCTGGGACCCGGGATCCCACACGGGGAGATACCAGACAATGTCCCTTGCGTCACTGTGCAGGACAGTGAACAAGAGATTAGAAAATTGAACGGATTGTATGTATTTTTTCTTCTTCGGGTCAGTCTTACCTCACGGGGGAGCCACTCGTGAGTTTGTGATGGCTTGTGCAGTGAAAGTTACTCCCGTGAGTTTGGAACCGATCCCGGCGTTTTTTTCCAGACTAGTGCAGCGACGAATTTAATTTGATTTAAAAAAAAAAAATACGAAAGTTATGAAGAGACTGAGAATGAAGAATGAATTGCTGGAAAAAAAAATAATGAAGACAATTGACATATTTTTGCTATGTTAACAGACATAACATTAAAAAAAATACATTAAAAGGAAAAGTCGAATGGAAGACTGAAGGGGGAGTAAGAGGTAGTTAACGATACAAGTAGGAAGACAGCATTACAAGATGGACAAACAGCAGTCTGAGAGAGTGTACTACCAAGACAAGAGGCAGAGTGTCTATGTCTCTCTCTTTCTCTCTCTCCACCTCTCACTCTGAAGGCAGATAATCAAAACATCACAGCGATGATGGGGACAACCACGCGAGTTATCCCGGAAATCCTACTGTCACGTGACTCATTTTTGGCGCCTTAATGAACGCCTCTGTTTTCTCTACTGAAGTGTATCGGTAACAGGGATAACAATCTTCCCGGCTTGAAAACACACCAGAAAGAATGGCACGTAAAGATTATGCTGCCGAGAAGGGTGAGTAGTAGACACGTATTATTAACTGGTTGTTTAATGAGCAGAACATGGAAAGATTGCGGCCAGCCCCAGGTAATCAGTTGTGTAGTCATCTCACCACCGCGGCTAAAGTGAGTTGGCGGCGTTCCATCATCCGTCTTTACGAAGTTCGAACAAAGAAAAGAGCTTCTTTTTTCTTTCCCGGACCCCATTTTTGGGGACAAAAATTATAGATCCACTGCTCGCTAAAAACATGTAAAAGTCGACTAATTATATTAATTAGGATTATTAACTTATTAACTATTAGAAGTCACTGAAATGTTATTTGTTTCATTCGAAGTCTGAGTGCAAGGAAACAACAGCCTGCCTATATTACTATTATTACCTATATTATAAATTACTGTACAAACAATCCAGATCTGTAAAACGGGTGTGCCCGCAAAACTCAGGTGCTACTGAACAGAAATGAAATCAGATTTTGATTAAAATTAACGCCCAGAAGTGGACGAACAACCAGATCTTCCTTTTAACGTTTACATGCAACAAACAACAACAAAGAACCACCTAAGACTTAGTGGTTGCTTTAGTCAGTTAAAAATAAAATAGTGTTACAGGTCATAACCTTTCTGTTGGATATTCGTTTGCCGCTTAGCACAATATTCTTGAGCCTAACAACACAGCCTGCCAAACTACTGTATTAGGGGCAAGCGCAAAGGTAGAGGAAGTGCTAAGGAATGTTCTGATCTCCTGCCAGAGTTATGTTAGAATCTATTGTGTCAGGCCTAAATCATCACCGAGTGACTTGCTGATTGGCATGGATAATCATGCCTCTGCTATCTGCAAACGCATGTGTCTGTTCATGTGACACCACTCCATGCTGACAAAAGACTGTCAAGAATCACTCTTGCGAATAACGGTCCCAAATTATTGAGGCAGAAAATATACCCTAACAGGGCCTCAGTCACCTGTCAATTGCGCACTTCCGGCGACTTAAATTGCGCACTTCCGGCGACCTTTGCCACTGCCAAGAGTATCCCCCACGCCACCTTAGCGGCGTGGATTGGGGCTAAACTAACTGGCTATGACTCACGAGCAGCAGCTACATTTCCTGCAGCTGCCTTCATTTTATTTGCTCATCAGCCCCAGCCATCTAGATTAGCCCCAATCCACGCCGCTCACGGGGGGCTACTCTCGGCGGTATAGTCCCAGGAAGTGCGCAGTTGACATTTGACTGATACAGAAAAAAAAAAATTGTGTCCAAACAAATCTAGTGGTCACAGCATGTTCTGCTTTCTTTTTTCAGAACGTGAAAATTTTTTTTTTAAACAAAGAGGACACAAACAATAGATTGCACAATTATTTGCCTGGCATATTTCGCTGTATCTCATCAGGTGCATACTGCAGTAACAATTACATGAATGAAGCAGATAAGTGAAATTGATAACTGCCTCTTTCTAATGTTTGTGATAAGCTGTCTTGGAGCCCTTGTCTCCAAATTTAATTTTTTTTAAATGTTGACAGTCTATAATCTTTTTTTTATTTGTCAATATTTAGGGAAAATTACAACATTCCTAAAGGAATACTACAAGGATAATGATGATGGTGGAAAGGAATTTGTTTACGCTTCACAGCTGGTAAGTTTTGTTAAATAGTTAATGCATATTCTTTTTTTTAAGACGCAATCGTTTAAAGGTTAAAACAAAACAACAAACTATATCATGGCACGGGATATCTACATAAAGAAGTGATTCCAGTATAAAAAGTGGTGGGCAGACTTGACCGGGCATAGACTTCAAGAAGCGTTTTTGGAACAGAAAATAAAGCACTGGCTGTTTTTGTATATCTGACCAAAACTTTCAATGATGTGTGCGAGAATGTACTGACTGGTACTTAAATTTTGCAGCTACAAAGTTGAAGGAAAAATGTACACTGCAGTAAAGTGATTGATTATGAAGTCACTTTGTCTGTCTACAAGGAACAACACAAAAAACTAAAAACAGCTCCGTTTATTATTGTAACATAAGTATGACCGTAAAATAACAGATTATAGACAGCACATTCATACCAGCGTTGTGCTACTGTTGCTAAACCTGGACGTAGTCAAGGAAGCGAACATTGTAATCCTAGACTGCTCATGTCCCTGTGTGGGTTCTTGAGCCCTGTTATTGGGAAAACAAGAATAGACCCACTGCCTGCCACAAAAGCATGCTGTAAGAGTCGACTAATTGGGAGCTTCCTTCAAAGTTGGAGTGCATCTGCCTGAGAGGCAAGGAAGCAGCAGTCTGCATACAAATGAGTCAGATCTGTAAAACGCAACACTCAGGTTCTGGAACAGGAATGCAGTCCAGAAGTGGATGAACAACCTGAACTTTCTAGCTGGTGAATACGGAGTAAAAGAAGAAGACTGCCCATGCTAATAAGTTTGCTGGTTAAAGTGATACAGAAAACCTGGTTACAGTGCAACTGAACACAGATAACACATGAGAATACTGCCAGATGGCTGAATAGGTCCACATCTCTAAGACTAAATCTGATTATCTTTGTCAGATGGCTGAATAGGTCCACATCTCTAAGACTAAATCTGATTATCTTTGTCAGATGGCTGAATAGTCCACATCTCTAAGACTAAATCTGGTTATCTTTGTCAGATGGCTGAATAGTCCACATCTCTAAGACTAAATCTGGTTATCTTTGTCAGATGGCTGAAAAGGTCCACATCTCTAAGACTAAATCTGGTTATCTTTGTCAGATGGCTGAATAGTCCACATCTCTAAGACTAAATCTGGTTATCTTTGTCAGATGGCTGAATAGTCCACATCTCTAAGACTAAATCTGGTTATCTTTGTCAGATGGCTGAAAAGGTCCACATCTCTAAGACTAAATCTGGTTATCTTTGTCAGATGGCTGAAAAGGTCCACATCTCTAAGACTAAATCTGGTTATCTTTGTCAGATGGCTGAAAAGGTCCACATCTCTAAGACTAAATCTGGTTATCTTTGTCAGATGGCTGAAAAGGTCCACATCTCTAAGACTAAATCTGGTTATCTTTGTCAGATGGCTGAAAAGGTCCACATCTCTAAGACTAAATCTGGTTATCTTTGTCAGATGGCTGAAAAGGTCCACATCTCTAAGACTAAATCTGGTTATCTTTGTCAGATGGCTGAAAAGGTCCACATCTCTAAGACTAAATCTGATTATCTTTGTCAGATGGCTGAATAGGTCCACATCTCTAAGACTAAATCTGGTTATCTTTGTCAGGTGTTTACTTTTTCAGCACCAGATAGTAATTAGGATAACTTGTTCTGTATTGAGACATTCTAGTTTATCAAAGAAGTAAACATATTATAGTGTCGTATTCTTCCTTTCAGGATCAGGTTTAAAAAAAAAGCAGATGCAAGTCTAGGTATATGTTGCAGAAGTTAGATGTGTTGGCTAAAAGGTGTAAATATTGCAGCCATGTTGTAAATGGGCACAACGCATTTACATCCTGTGATCTTCTTCACACTCACCCTCTGTAAACTCCAGCGAAAAGTTCTGGTTGTTTGTCCACATCCGGACTTGAGTCATGTTTCAGAACCTGAGTATTGCCTGCAGACCTGTTTTACAATTCTGGCTTATTTGTTTGCAAACAATATGTGTTTGCAAACAGTTGGTTTCTTTTCTCTCATGAAGATGTGCTCCAACTTTGAAGGAAATCCCTAATTAGTCGACTCATACAACATGATTTTGGGAAGGCAAGGGGTCAATTCTCTTTTCTCAACAGTGGGGCCACAGAGCACACAGAAGGAGTATTGAGATCAATGAAAAAGAAGAACACCACAGAGGATTGAAGAAAATAGCAACCACTAGTATGGTTCCTGGAGGAAGAGGCAGGGGGCAACTAGCATAGATAGTGGACATAAAGTGGGAAAGTTGGCAGGAGGACCTAGTGGCTTTCTGCTATTTCGTAATGAGTGCATTCTATAAAGGACTTGCAACATCATGATGATAATAATGACTTGTCTTTGAATATTAATATCAACAGCTATTAGTCCTGGAATGTATAACTTTACTAAAGTTGCTCATACTTGTTAATTACAGACAAAGATTGCACACAGAGAACAGGTGGCTCTCACAGTACAACTAGATGATGTCAGTGATTTCGACCCTGATCTCAGCGAGGCTATCGTGGAGAATACCCGAAGATATGTGCAAATCTTTGGTGATGCCGTGCATGAACTTCTACCAGAGTTCAAACAGAGAGAGGTAAATAATTTTATAATCACTTTTGTTTTTAAAAAAAAAAGAATCTTTTAGGATTGGTAAGTTAGTTGACAGATTATCCTTAAACCAGGATAAACACAGCGCAGACATTTTTATAAGCCTTTTTTATATATTAAAAACACTTAATTTTGTATTGTACCTTCTGATCTTATCTATTCCTAGTTAAGTAGATTTTTCAGTATAGATATCCAAAATATGTGAAGAAATTTTTGGCTTTTTTCTTTTATTAAATAAAGCTTTGTATCTTATTTGTCCAGGTATCTGGCCTTCATTTTAATATATTTTTCACTCAGACATAATGCAAAATTGATTACGTAAAACATAATTTAATATTGACTATCTCTTCTTCTCAATACCTGCTAAAGCCGAAAGGCGTCACATTGATCAGCTGAGACAGGGCGCGCTCACTCGCTTGATATGCCATGATGTTACGCAGTCTCGTTGTGTCAATGACTCCTTCAGTCCATGTTCTTCTTGGTCTTCCCCTGCCTCTTGTGTTTTAATTTTCAGGTTGTACGCTCTTGCTGCTGGCATTGTTGGTATCATTCTCATTAGATGGCCAAACCATTCATTTCTTTGTTTCTCAATAAATTTGGTGATGGGTGTTGTTTTAACAGTTCTTGTGATCACGTCGTTTCTTACTTGATCTCTTCTGATTTTATTCACAGTCATTCTCTAACATCTCCTCTCACAGATGGTTAGTTTTCTCTCGTTTTTTGTGTGCCAATGTCTCAAGTCTGACATTGGTAACATAAAGTCAGTATAAATATTGTATTTATAATTTATCTTTTTGTCTCTGTTGGGAAAGCAGGGTGTGTTAAATAAAATTGGAGCAGGTTGATACGTGACATTGTTGGTTTGTTGGATTCTCGCTTAGATCTTTATTTCTGTCTATTTTACCATCGTATGTAAAGATGCTTCCCAGGTATTGAAATTCTTGCACCTGTTTCAGACTTTGATCTTTGTATCGATAGTTTGTTGCTCTCTACTCATTCTCATGACTTCTGTTTTTTCAGTATTGATCTTCATGTGATGTTTAAGGCGACTGTTGTGTAATTGGCTTAAGTAAGTGGTCCTGCAGCTGTTTACTTTCACTGTGGAATATGCACTGATCATAACGAAAGAACAGCTCATTGACCTCCTATTTTACTAAGACCTGGTAGTGTTATGTCTATTTTATTAATATTGTCCATGGATATTATAAAAATAAAGGTGAAACAACACATCCTTGCCTACCTTACTCCTGATGTTATTGGAAACCAGTATGTATAGGACCATATTCATAACATTGATCCCCCTTTGTGTGTTCTGCAGGAGATGCTATTTGTGGGACACGTAAGTTTAATGCTTATCCTTTACAGGACATTGCAAAACCAACACCAGCATGTTTTTTTGCAGTTGTTTTGTTTGCTAAAGCAGATTGTGTGTTCAGTAGTTTGCCATTCCTTTTTAAATGATCAAGCCATTCCTTTCTGAACGGTCAGCTTTCGGTACCACTGTCGAAACCAACGCAAGACAAACTGTCTGCAGCTGGGATCAAACCTGGCACCCCGGCATTACGAAGCGCGTGTGTGCAAAATGTGTAAGCCACAGACGACTACGGGGCACACATAGGCTTCCCTTATAAGAATGTTGTAAACAGCAACTAATTAGTGCATCTGCTAAAGAGATGAGGAGCCAAGAGTGGGCATACAAGTAAGCCAGATCTGTAAAACGGATGTGCGGCCAAAACTCCCATTATAGAACATAACCAAAGGTCAGATTGGAAAACCAAACAGAAATTACTACTGGAGCTACAGCTGGTGAACACTTTACGCCTTACCGCTGGTGACTGCAAAGACGAGGACGACATTGACATTTGGGGCTAGACCCACACTTTTATAGACCATTCAGCAACATTGTACCAGTCATCTTTACTTCCCATCATATTTCCTAGTACCTGATTTAGACTAAGTCAACCTGGATACCAAGATAAGGCAAAGAACATAAGCAGGTGTGAACACACACCACAAAAGAAGATTAAACCGAAGATAAATGGCAAGGAAACCCGGCCAGCTAAATAACCGCCGCGCGGATAGGAGCTGGTTAAATGTCGCAGAATTTTAGAATTTTAGTTTACTGCAAACCGGAACCGGATATAAAGATTCATTATGCAGATTAGAATTTAGATTTAGATTAAAACTCATAATGTTTGGATCAGCAGCCAAGCAGCTAGCTACTGTGCTACTGCAGCTTTTAGTATTGTATGTGTCAGAATACAGAATTCCTGCCATTTATTGTTTTTTTTTCCCCTCAAGATTCAACATCGGGATGTTCTTGATGTGTACATTGAGCACAGACTGCTTCTGGAACAGAGGAACCACCCAAATGATCAAGAAGCCACAAGAGATCCCCAAAACCACTACCCACCAGAATTGATTCGCAGATTGTAAGTATCTACTTCTTCATAGTTGGCCCCAGTGATGTAAATACCTTGCGTCTGTTTACAGCATAGCTGTGATATTTGTGCTCTTCGTCTGACAGATCTGACTTCTTCTGCCGTTAGTTTTCTGGGACATATGTAGCTTCATGTGTGTTGTGGCTCCATCATCGCCTGATTCCCAGGTGTTGTCTCTAGGGGCAGTTACATGCAGAATGTAAGTATTAAATGCATTTTAAGTTTTGGGAGAGAACAAATCTCACTGAAAAATTAAGACTTGAAGAGAAGATGCTGGGGTTGCAGAGGACAAACAGTGAATAAACCTGAGGTTAATATAATTAAAATGTCCCTACACTGAAACCCACAGGGACAGTGAAGTAAAGGCAGACCATAAAACACCTGGAGAAGGGAGCTGGAGAGTGAAGTTATACTTCTTCTGTGTTCTTCTTTGCGTTCACCAGCTGTTAACTCTGTGGAAAGTTCTGTTCCAGAACCTGAGTGTTACGTGTGCATCCGTTTGACAGATCTGACTCATTTGTGTGCAGACTGTTGGTTCCTTGCCTCTCAGGCAGATGCACTCCGACTTCGAAGGAAGCTCCCAATTAGTCGACTCCTACGACATGCTTTTAGGTAGGCAGTGGGTCTATTCTTGTTTACCCTATATTAGGGCCCCGGAACCCACACGGGGAGATGGGAATAAAGATTGGGAGGGCCTGGGGTTAGCTGCATGTACTAGCAAAGGTCAGGATGACTTGTAAGTTGGTCGAGGAGCTGTGCTCCACGTTGAGGATGGAGAGCAGAATAAGAAGAGTGTGATTCTTCTTCTTCTGCCTTTCTATCCCCCAATGGAGCATAGGCCCTCAACCAACTCACGCCAAGTCGTTCTATCCTTCGCCATTGCATGGAGCTCTCCCCATGTCCTCCCAATCCTTCTAACCTCATTCTCCAGTTCTCTTCTCCATGTGTTTTTTGGCCTTCCTTTATTCCTATGCCCCTGTGGGTTCCAATGCCCATTGTTCTCCCTATATCATAGAGAGTTCTAACATTCCAGGTGCCAATTCTGGAGGTTTTCCTAGCTGAGAGGAGGTGATCCGGACTCCCTACGGCTTTCTCCACACCGATACTTCTTCTATTTGAAGAGCCTGGTGGCTGGATTTTATTTGCTCTCTTTTGGACTTATCCATGGTTGGTTGGTTTTTGTGGCTATGGTTTTTACAGGATGGGGTAGCCAACCTCAAGCCCAACCCTACCCTTAGTCGCCTCTTACGACATGCCTGGTAGGGTGCAGTGTCCCTGTTCTTTGCTTCCCGTGAGGGCCCCGGGGACACACGGGCGAAGAGTGTGATTATCTCTTGGGAATGTTACCAAACGCCAGACCTGGGGTCATATGTACCACATGCAGGGAGCATGTCTGAAGCACGTACATGGAACGGTTTGAGAGTGGTTTTAAAAAAGCCTTGTAAGTTTTGTTTGTGTGTATGTGGGTAGCCGGGCATCATTGATAGTGATGTTGTTGCCTTTTTTATGTCTACGCATAGCGTACACATAATTGTTTTCCTAATTGTTGTATTTAGATCTGTCATTGACATGCAGAAGTAGCAGTGTACTCATTTTATGTAGATGATCGAAATCCCAGGTCTGCAAGCTACCTACTGCTGGCTTCTAAAGATTTAGCAGAAAGTTGGATATGTTGGCATAATGACACAAATATTGCAGCCATGCTGTAAACGTGCTAGCGCAATTACATCTTCGAATGAACGCAGAACTAGAAATCATTGTTTGTCGTGCCATTATGGAAATAAGCCTTTCCCTGTCGTTGATTCGCACGATAGGGCGTGTGGTGCTAGACCCACTTTTGAATAAACCAATTAGCACTCAGTGGACGACGTCAGCATTATGCTAGCCAGTGTCCCTCCAACCCTCTGCGCCATGTCCTAGCACTCATTTTAGGCTGGGTTGATCAGTTTTAAAAATCTGCCTCTTTCAGTAAGTACACCATGAGTCAGCCTGAGTTCTTTTTCCACTTATGCCATGTGGCCCAGAACTGGTCCTAACCCTAACCCACCCACGTCCCATGAGCGAGAGTCTAGCCTAGGTCCCACGACTGCATGCAGCCTATCTACCACCCCCTAAAATATTGACTCTCTGTTTAGGGGGAGATTTTGGGGTAGAACCTAAAAATCTCCCTTATTATATAAAATGTTGATCATTTGTACCGCAGATGGTAAAAGGAAGCGTATATGATCTAAGGAAACCTGGAGAAGGACAGTGGAAAGGCAAATGAAGGAATGTAAACTAACCAGATATCACAGGCAGAAAAGCTGCAGGCTGGCAGCAGGGGAGATCTCTTGTGAACGCCTAATGAATATAAACAAAGATATGAGGAGGATTTTGAGAGAGGTTTTGGGCACATATCTGAGAAAGTTTATGAGATAAGCCAAAAGGTAATGGACTGGACTCCATGCATAATGTCAGAAAGATAGCAGAGGATAGAATCAGATGAAGGAATAGACAGAGCCCTGTTCAGCACATGAGTATGCTGTTGATGAAATATTTCACCTGATTTCACTTGTTTTGTTTTCTTTCAATAATTAATTCCTTCATTCCAAAACTAGAACTCTTTCTATAATTTTTGTTGTCGTTAAATAAAATATATTCTCTACATCACTATCTCCGTCTATTTATGTTTTAGTGAGATTTATTTCAAGGCACCTTCAACCCAGAAGTTTGCAGCCATTCGAGAGGTCAAGGCCAACAACATTGGGAAGTTGGTGTCAGTGAAGGGCATCGTTACCAGGGCAACAGAAGTCAAGCCCATGATGACTGTTGCAACGTACACTTGTGACACCTGCGGCAACGAAACCTACCAGCCGGTATGTCTGACACGTAAACAGTTTCCGATGGAGTCTGTATTTATTGTTCAAGGAACTGAACAAATTTTGAGTTTTTTTCCTTGTTTTTGTTTTGGGGAGTGCAGGGTCACACATGGCACCAGGACCACGGCACAGACTTGTCCAGACCTGCCCGCATCTCTCATGGTCATCCCATAAACTAGCTAAGCCTGAAATTGGACCGATGCACTCTGACCTTAAAGAAAGCGGAGTTGACCTTCCTGAGAGCTGGAGAGCCAAGTCTGCACACATAAGCCAGATCGGCACACATAAGCCAGGTCTGTAAAACGCAGCACTCAGATTCTGGAACAGGACCACAGCATACAAGTGGACGATCAACTAGAACTTTCCGCAAGAGTTTCCAACCAGTGAACATGAAGTTTTAAAAGAAACTTTTTTGTTGTTGCTGAATTTGTGTAATTGCTTGGTGCTTCAGTCTCCTTTCATAAACCACAGAATTAGAATCTCACTAGACTGAATTAATATCATAACAAGGGAGAGGACCACATGTGTGCCCAAATAAATGTTAAGGATGTTTTCTGCATCCTCTTTGGTCTGGTAATACTAAAACATTTTGATATGAAATAATGTTAAATTCATAGATCAAAAGATTATTTATTTAGCAATCTGACTCCATTAGTGTGCAACACAGATAAAAATATATCAAAATGATATGTTAAATGGGAAGAAATGTATTAAAGTGATATTTGCTTAAAAAAATTATGAAAAAGTTGAAGAATATTCTTATTTCTTCTTCTTCAGCATTTCGAGCCTTTGAGGTTCATTGCTGCAGGTATCACCTGCCTCCCTCCATTCATCTCTCTGCTTGGCCTTCTCATTCCAGTTGGTGACGCCAAGTGTTTGTAGGTCTGCCTGGATGTTATCTCTCCATCGTCTTCTTGGTCTGCCTCGGGGTCCACCAACCATTCAACTCCCCTGTGTACAGTTTTTTTAATCCACGTCATCTTATATTCTCTCAGTATGCCCCATCCATTTGTCTATTAACCAGTTTGATGCCAGTAGTAATCATCTGTGATTTAAAAAGATTATGAATTTCACTGTTGCTTTTTGGTGATTTAAAAAGATTATGAATTCCATTGTTGCTTCTCACTCTCCATTCCCTGCTGTTTGCATCATCTGATTATGGTGTTATGAGACACAGACTTTGATTTTAGCAGATGTTGTAAGAAAAGAAGTTAATATATAAATATAAATTGGTTTCAAAATAAAGATTTCCAGTACAGCCTTCATGCCGCTGCTGATGTGCCCAAGCCAGGCGTGTACAACGAATAGATCTGGGGGACGGCTTTACCTGCAGACTCGTGGGTCTAAATTTGTGAAATTTCAGGAGGTGAAAATTCAAGAACATGTAAGTTTATCATCGGTTTTTGAGTTGTGATGCCTGTATTTGATGTATGTGATAGTTCACGCATTCAGTTCTGATTCCTGTATTTGTTGTATTGATAGTTCACACATTCAGTTCTGATGCCTGTATTTAATGTATGTGATAGTGCAGACATTCAGTTGTGATGCCTGTATTTGATGTATGTGATAGTGCACACATTCAGTTGTCATGCCTGTATTTGATGTATGTGATAGTGCACACATTCAGTTGTGATGCCTGTATTTGATGTATGTGATAGTGCACACATTTCTGAAATGCTTATTATGGTGATTGCGTGGCTGGTCAGGCTGTCACTTTTGTTTTCCTTTGTGTTCCCCTAAATTGATAATTGAGGCCATTATTCTGGGGGTGGAGGGAGGTAATAGATGCACTGACGTCAAAGTGCATCATCATGAGGAGCAAGGGACCAAGAGACTGCATACAAATAAACCAGACCTGTAAAACAGATGTGCAAGCAAGGTTCTGACACGAGAACAAGTTTGAGAAGTGGGTGTATAGCCAGAACATAATAGTAGAAGAGATTGGCTAGATGTTGACCACACTTTACCTCTGACTGAGCCACACCCCTCTCCCCCAATAATGAAATTGCACCTTTTTAATATCTATCTTCTGTTACCCCACCAGGACATCACACAAGTGATAAACACCCGATGACACAAAGTTGAACCATGTGGATGAGGAAAACTCGTGGAGAGGTCACAAAAACCGTGTTCAGCCATTAGACTATATTTATGGCTGGGCTATTTTGCAGTCCCTGGCAAGAGCCAGGGTGGGATTTCAAATAACAAAAAATGTCATCCCAAAAAGGGGTGACAAGATACCTTTATTTAAAAAAAAAATTATTTCCCCTTTTTAAACGCACTTTTAAATCCTTCAGTGCGCTGCATCATACTCTCTACGTGCAGTAAAGATGATCTCAGGTCTGGCCATTTAGCATTCGTGTTGAACTAAACTATGAATCAGTGGAGGGCATGCATCACACAACCTTTATAGAGGCATGTCACCTGATCATCTGATAACCTTGGCAGGGAAAACAAAGAAAAAAAAATACATTTCTGCATCAACGCAAGACACATGATATTGCTGCTCAAATTCAACCCAGATGAGGGTACACATTATCTTGATGCAACATCCAAAGAGCCATATCCCATTAGCACAAAAATGTAGACAAACTAGAAAGTTTTGTGTTACAAAATCCCAACTTTTGTGTGTCCACGATCTCCTTTTCCCAGCATAAAGTGACCTCAGCAGTCACTTTCGTACTTTTAGTCACTGAATGTCGCTTGATGATGAGTGATCTTCATCTGTTGCTGTTATGGTGGATGAACAACAGCTCAAGATAGCATTGTTGTTGGAACCTTTCTGTGTTTCCAGATGATAGTGTTATAGTGTGCTATCAGAAGGCGTGGGATTGGAATCACACACAGGGCCTGGGGATGGCAAGTGGGACACTAGCAAGACCTGCCTACGTTAAGAAAAGTCTTCCACAGTTACAACCTTTAGCAGAGGACCTGCTACATGATGATGAAATAAATACATTTGATTACACTTGAGGTCAATAGCAGGGTGTCTTGCCACTATGCTTCCGCAGATCCCAGGGAGAGTGAGATAAACTTTTAAAACAAATTTTGTGTCCTGAAGCAATGACAACAATAAACCCTTCTTATAATCTTTCTCAATTTAAAAAATAAGCAAACCATATAAAGTGATGAAACACACATATTTCAGAAAATGAGAATGCTGAACTGTTGTTGCCATCCCATGTATTAGTGGCTGCTTCAAGCACAAATCAATGTTTCGACATAAAACCCTTTTCAGATGACACAGTGTCATCTGACAGTTGAAACAAATTAAGTGAAAAGAAAGGAAGGAAACCTAATTAACAGCAAATGGCCGGGTCAATAATTTATAAACATTAATTGTTCTGTGGTCGCCCATAAATGAGCAGTTGGCGCATTTTGTTGTTGTTTAAAGCTAGACTGCGATATCTTTGCCTTTATAAGTCCAACGCATTTGATTTCAGCAAAACCGTACTTATCAGTTGCCTTTTATACTACATGGTTGTCAGGGGGCATTGTCAACCCCCATTGCACAGGGGTTTAATAATAATGAAAGATATAAAATGTAAATTGACAAGATGCTAGGCATATGTGTGAACTTTTCTTTCTTTTTTTTTACAATTTAAATATTTATTTGTAATTTGTTTGTTTGTTTATTTCTCATTAGAGCGACCAAGTACCTGTTGGCAACATACCTCGTTCCATGACCATTTATTGTAGGGGGGAGACAACTCGCAAAGCCCAACCTGGCGATCATATTTGTGTTACTGGCGTATCCTTGATTGGCACTCTGTTAGTTCTAAGTGTCTCATGATAGTATTTAGATATTTTAAACTGTTTAGATTACTTTGCATATGATAAAAACAAGCTTGTGGCAGAAATTTTACATATTCTACCTGTTGCAAGAAGTTACTGGGTTCAGTATTCCAACATAGCTTTGTAAATCTGTGAAAATTATTGTTTTCTAGTGAAATATCACACCTCTGTGATCTCTAGGATAATGCGATCAGATACCTAGTATTGTGTGAGTCAAAATATGATGTCTGATGTGTGCAGTTTAAATATAAAAAAAAAAAATCGGAATTCACAACAGAATAGTTTTGTTGTTTTCCTGAAACCTAAGTCCTGGCAGAATTTAGGGAATACAAAATAAATTTTGCATGTTGGTGCTTTTCAACGGAGTGCAAGATAGTCATTGCAGACAGTGAGGTCTTCTGTAAAGAGTGTTAAAAAAAATCTTGTTTCATATGACTTATTGATTATCTAAATGTAATATAACTCCACCTCATGTTTGTGTAACCTAGCAGATTTGAAACCCTGCCAATGTACACCACCAGTACAGTATCTTTACTTTCTCTTCACAATGTTTAACAGGAATTACATATTGCATTTAAATTGTGAATTAGATTAATGCATTTTTTTCTGATGGAAGATATTTTATAAGGAACTTAGGATGTAGGGAAATTTTTCAAAGTAAATTCTACCATATTAAGTCAGTAAATATATGTTACATTTAATAAATATCTGGGGACAACTTCCTTCCTCCAGAAAAGGGACGACAAAAAAAAAAAAAAAATAACACTGTTGATTATGATGGTTTTTGGGCCACCTTAATTACTGCCAGATTTTTCTTCCACTGATGCGCCAAGGCTTTCAGCAAATTGCGCAGGGGCTGCTGTCTGAAACATTTCTTGAAGCCCACGTAAGTAAATCTTTCATGTAGAGCTCAGATTTATTACGTATTTTTTGTATTGATGGTTCACAGAGTAATAATAATAATAAAAAAATCTTGGTTGTTGGAGACATATCTTCTATTATGTCACTTCAGCACGTTCTCATGTATTCAGATTTTCACAGTTCATATCATTAAATGGCATTAGTAAGTTTTAGACACATTCAGTTTCTTGATTTAAACAATATTTTTTCATATTGCAGAGAGTCAGTCAGATGAATAAAACTGAAGATGACCTCTCAGAATCACGTGACTTGACCCCTGAAGAGTTGAGGCTTGTGGCAGGTGAGAACATTGATTTTCGTTCAGCTTTACAGATTGTTGCCTGACTTCATTGTTTCTTGTAGGCAAGCTATCTGTTGTAAATAAAACTTATATTGCTGCTTGTTGGTTTAAAAAAATTATCAGGTCGTTAAAAAGGCATAGCACGTCCGTTAACTTTTTGATCTAAACTTCTACTGATGCAGTTTAAATATTTAATCTGTTATAAACGTGTGACAGTAACACTTTGGAACTGGTAAAAAAAAAAAAAGTAATTAAGTACCGCCAAATGGGTGTGGCAAATATTTTTTTTGCGCTTGTTTCTTGCCTAGAAATCTTGCCAAAAATTTACAAGGCGGCATCGTAAAATCAGTTATGCGTTGCATAGGTGTTGAACCATATGTGGTGGTGCTCCAGGGCTGGGGCTCAAACTGGCTAAAACCCATCTACACAATTTTCACCTGGAGGCCTGGCTGGTAAAGATAGGATTGACTTTTTTCCTTCGAAGCTGGAGTCTGAGAGGGGAAGAAAAATCAAGTCTGCACACAAAGTCAGATCAATGAGGCACTCAAGACCTCGAACAAGAGCAAAGCCCAGACGTGGACACACGACCAGGACTTACAGCCAGAGTTGACAGCAGGTGAACACAAATTGGACCCCATCTTGGGGAAAACAAGAATAGACCCTCTGCCTACCCAAAAGCATTTTGTAAGAGTCGACTAATTGGGGAGCTTCCTTTGAAGTCGGAGTGCATCTGCCTGAGAGGCAAGGAACCAACAGTCTGTATTCAAGAGAATCAGATCGGTAAAACTGATGCACACGCAACACTCAGGTTCTGGAGCAGGACTGCAGTTCAGAAGTGGACGAACAACCAGAACTTTCCACCAGAGTGTACAGCTGGTGAACGCGAAGAAGAAGAAATCAATTATTAAATTAGATTTTTTTTATAATGCAAAGAATTTGTCCCTTGCTGCACCCCACAGAGGATGACTTCTATGACAAGCTGGCCAGCAGTATCGCCCCTGAGATTTATGGCCATGCTGATGTTAAGAAAGCTTTGCTGCTGTTATTGGTTGGCGGTGTAGACAAGTCTCCCAAGGGGATGAAAATCAGAGGTTAGTATTCTGTAATACTTTTGTTCATTATTCATTTCAAGATAACCTTGATTGCACATTGGGCATACCCATAAGTGCTCCGTTCTTCTCTTAAGCGTGTTTTCACTGATTCCTATTCTGTACTAGCTGATATAACAACTTCACTCTTGCATGTTGTCATGATGCACTTGTTCCATTTGGTGTATCTAGACTTCCTAAAACTCAGAAGAATTTAAGACCAGTAGGGGTGTTAGACAAGGTGATATTCTCTCACCTTACCCCTTCATTCTTATAATGCATAATGTCATCAAGATCTGTAAGGAGAAGAGAAAGCTTGAGAAGAGAGGGTTGACCATCAGTATTTCCAAAACTAACACCATGGTGATCTCAAGAGAGGTGGGAGGGGGGGGGGGGGGACCAGATCATGATGGGGCAGTATGCTTTGGAGCAGGTCAACCAGTTCAGATATCTTGGAGTTGTAATAGACTGAAATGAAGGTATTAAGACCAAGCTGGCTACACAGAAAGCAGTTGCTTGGATACTTTTCCAGACCATAAATCCAGGGTTTCTTAGCAAAAGAGAAATAGGCAAGAGGATGAAAATGGCTATTTACCCCTCTACCTATATACTAGTCCTGACTTACAGGTGTGAGTCATGGATAATGACAACAGCTCACAGAAGCCAGCTTCAGGCCTAAAAAATTCAGATATCTGCGAAAGGTGGTCCAAGTCACAAGAAGGGGCAAAGTCCGCAATCAGACAATACATCAAGATCTCAAAACCCAGGCCTTACAAACCCATTGGATCAGTCACAGTTAAGATGATTTAGACATGTATGCAGAATGGGAGAAAATCTGGCAGGCATAGGAGGCTAAGAACCAAGGAACCATACTTCCAAGACGACCCAGGGTCAGCTGGCATCTGACAGTCCCTGTCTGACAGAGAACTTGATTGGAACAATGCCAGAAAGAAAACTGCTGATAGAGAAACCTGACAATCTCTCTGACAAACTTCAACACCTCAAGGTAGAAGAGGAATGACTAAATAAGTAAGTATCTAGACTTCATGTCCTATCAGAGAGAAATCTTATTTGTTCATCTTCGGCTTAGCTGTTGCTTGGACATCTGTCCCCCACCCCCTGTAATTTTAAAGGGGGGGGGGAATAGGGAGGTGTTAGCCCCAGCCTACCTACATCGTCAATTTACAAGGTGGCTGTACGGCCCCTAGCCATGTGTAAACATCTCTATTTTTTTTTTTTTTTAAGTACAAGAAAACCTCATTAACATGAATTTCAACAATTGAGTTTGTATTAACAAATTTTGTCACCTTGAGGCTAATAAATGTATTTTGAATAATACATCCCTCATGTGACCAACATTTGTTTCATTTTAACTGAGCGTTAATCTTAAGTGAGTTCATATTAACAGCGTTTTACTGTGTTTTTAAAAATACATTTCAAATTCCATATACATTTTTTTGAACAAAAGCACGTAATATTAATGATACATTTGTTGCATTATTATTTTATGATATAGGTAACATCAACATTTGCCTGATGGGAGATCCAGGAGTGGCCAAGTCTCAGCTTTTGTCTTACATTGACAGATTGGCTCATCGTAGTAAGTTGATATATCATAAATTGTGGTGTAGTTTTTCATCATGTCAATGCTTTTCTTCTTAAAGTCCATGCTGTTAGGTTTTGGTAGTAGAGTCCCACAGCCCTTTTGTCTCATGTACTTTTGATCAGCTCTGATACGGATGATCCTCTATGCTGTGATTTCATACTGTTTAGACTCAACTTTTCTCCTTCTCATCACATGACCAAAGAATGTAGATTATCTTTCTGATGTGGGCGACAGTAAGTTTTTCTTTGTGAACATACTAGTCAACCAAAACTTTATTTAGCTGAAAATTTACCTGGGCCTATAGATACCTAATAGAGTCTATACCTTTAATATCATTTGATTCCCAGTTTGTTGAGAGATTATTTGGCTCTCCTCCGAACTTCTACACCCCCGCAGTATTGCGACCTGAAATATCCGTTCGGGGCGCAGTCCAATTAAAAATACGGACTTGTCGGAGTTCCCGCCGAGGAACAAATTGCGCAAAACCAGGAGTATCTTACAATGTCACGAGACGCAACATTGCAGATGATAAAAGCGACCGATGACAATGTCGAGCGTTTTCTGCAGACGATACTAGCAGATGATAAAAGCGACCGTTGACAATTTCAAGACATTACAGATGATGAAAGCGATATGGTGGGTAGACTACGCGCTCCCACGCAGATTAGCAATACTGTTCTTCCGATTGAGGATTTAGCAGCGGTAGATGTCAGACTTGTCGGCATGCGCAAAACGCGACTAAACTCACTGCCAAGCGGATGGGGGGCTAAACTAGGTGCCTGGGACTCACGGGCAAAGTAATTGGAGGAAGTTGCAGGAGATGCGGTAGCTGCCGCTCGTGAGTCCCAGCCATCTAGTTTAGACCCTATCCGGGATACCCTCTTTAGAAACAGGTCCGCAAGTAACATATCGCTGAGACCCTGTTAGAGCATTTGTTTAGTTGTTCCGAGCCAATACTAGATTTGCCACGATTTGTTCGTCAGCAGAAAGTTCGACAATGGAAAGTGTCAGCGGTCGCTATCATTATCGTCTGCTACTATCGTTTGCAGTGTTGTGTGCGTCTCTTAGAATTGTCAGGTAATCAGAAACAAGAAGAAACAGGTCCGCAAGTAACATATCGCTGAGACCCTGTTATACGGAGCCGGCATATTTTTAATTGGACTGCGCCCCGAACGGATATTTCAGGCCGTAATACTGCGGGGTTAGAAGTTCGGAGGCAAGCCGATTATTTTAGGCTCGAAAACTAAATTTCACAATTATATAAAAAAAATTTTTTTTAGTTTAGTTTAAATAGTATACCTACGTACACAAACTTCATATTCCAGGCTGGCGATTGGCATTTTTTAAAATCCATGGCAAATTGTTGTGTAGAAGCTGATTGTCCCGAGTTCTCTCCTTATGTTTTCACACCCAGACATGCCCTTGTACAAGCAGTTTTATCTTATCTTCCGCCTCTTGTAAAATAAAATGGTCAAAGTAAAGGCTGTTGCTTCGTCTATAGACTCACTTACTTAGTCTTCTACCTTAGGGGGGGGTGTTGAGATTTGCCATAGAGATCGCCAGACTTCTCTGTTAGCAGTTTTTATTTTGGCTTTGTTCCATTCCAGTCCCCCGTCAGTCAGGGACTGTTGGATATTGTCTTCCTAGCGGACCCTTGTTCACCCTGGAAGTCTGATTCCCTGGTTGTTGGCCATACATACCTGCCATTGTGGCCGATTCTCTCCCAGTCAGGACACATGTCCAAACCATCGTAACTGTGACTGGTACACTCGAGTTTGTAAGGCCTGTGTTTCAAGGCCATGACCTATTGTCTGATTGCGACCTTTGTCCCTTGTCACTTTTTCATATTCTTAAAAGCTTATTTAGACCCATATTTGTATAACTCAGTCAACACTTGCAAGATTTGATCAACATCACACCCAGATTTGATGCTGGCAGGGTCACGTTAGGTGCTGTACAAGCAATGGACCGGGCCGATATTCTCCATGATTTCAAGGAAGCAGGACAAGAAAAGGATTAAGGAAATGATAGTGGGTTAGGATTTAAAAGACTACAAGGACTTAAGGTCAAAAGAGGAATTACCAGACATGAACACTATGCGGGCAGCCAAAGAAGAATAGTAAACCAACACAGAATATGTGTTATCAGTCGCCATACGCTGAGGGACATGCTGAAGATGGGGTCCGAGCACTTAAAGACTACATCCTCATTAAGGATAATTTGTCGATTAACTTACTAACCCAAATATAAACAGATCATGATTGTCTTGTTTGGCACAGATGGGTGAGAGCTGGTTGCATTGTTTCATTTAGACGCACTGTTTTTGTGTGGGACGGTGACCAGACTGAATGTTTAGCATGGCAAATGTTAAACGCAGAAGAATTGTAACAGGAGTTGATGATCAGTCTTTCTGTTTTTCAAACTACACTCAACTATCAGTTGCTTGGAAACCCCCGAGGCTGTTGAAGGGATTTGAGAAATAAAATTACAGATTTTTATCTACTAGAAGTAAAGAAATGAAGTAGAAGAGTTCCTCCTTGTTTATAGTTTTCCCACTATCTCTTTTGCCCTGTTGGTTCTGATTAAACTGTTTTTCCCCCCGTGTGGGTTCCTGGGCCCCATTGTGGGGAAAACAAGAATAGACCCACTACCTCCCCAAAAGCATGTCGTAAGAGTCAACTAATTGGGAAGCTTCCTTTGAAGTTGGAGTGCATCTGCCGGAGAGGCAAGGAACCAACAGTCTGTATTCAAGAGAATGAGATCTGTAAAACTGATTGATGCACACGCAACACTCAGTTCTGGAGCAGGACTGCAGTTCAGTAGTGGACGAGCAACCAGAACTTTCTGCCAGAGTGTACAGCTGGTGAACGCGAAGAAGAAGAAGAAGAAGAAGAAATAGTTTCTCTTCCACATTATTAATTACGTTTGTCGTGCTATTAGTGTCGTGCTATTAGTGTCGTGCTATTAGTGTCGTGCTATTAGTGTCGTGCTATTAGTGTCGTGCTATAGTTCTGCTATCCGTGCTATTTAGTGTCGTGCTATTAGTGTCGTGCTATTAGTGTCGTGCTACTATTAGTGTCGTGCTATTTAGTCGTGCTAAGTGTCTGCTATTAGTCGTGCTATTAGTGTCGTGTTTAGTGTCGTCTATTAGTGTCGTGCTATTAGTGTCGTGCTTTTAGTGTCGTGCTTTTAGTGTCGTGCTTTTAGTGTCGTGCTTTTAGTGTCGTGCTTTTAGTGTCGTGCTATTAGTGTCGTGCTATTAGTGTCGTGCTATTAGTGTCGTGCTATTAGTGTCGTGCTATTAGTGTCGTGCTATTAGTGTCATGCTATTAGTGTCATGCTATTAGTGTCATGCTATTAGTGTCATGCTATTAGAATCTGTAGAGAAGAGACGGTTGTTTCACAGTAAGTGTTGTTTACAGGTCAGTACACCACCGGCAGGGGCTCATCTGGTGTGGGACTGACGGCGTCGGTGATGAAGGATCCCATCACTGGAGAGATGATGCTTGAGGGTGGAGCTCTTGTTCTGGCTGATGAGGGCGTCTGCTGCATTGATGAGTTTGACAAAATGATGGATGGTGACAGAACGGCAATCCACGAAGTTATGGAACAGCAGACCATCTCTATAGCTAAGGTAAACATCTTCTTTTCTTATCCGGAATACAAGAAAGCAAGAGCACACTGAAACTGTTCACAGTCTCCCCATTGTGGGGGTGGGCGGAGGGTACAGAAATAAACCAACAAAGGTGTTGAAAAAAGTGTCAAATTAAAGTTTAGCTGAAATTGGATGTGTTTGATTGAAAGAGGCATATATCGCAGCCTAGCTGAAAGCCTCTTGCTCTTTTATGTGCAAATACATAAGGGAGGATATGATATTTTGTTGTTTTGCTATAAAAAAATTATCGCATCATCAAGCCTGGAAAAGTTAAAAGTGTTATTTTTCATACAGTCGTCGTAAATATAGTATTATAACATCAGTATGCCAGATTGGCATGGACATTAGTTTTTCTAAACTATGTTTTATTTTTTATTAGGCTGGAATTATGACAAGTCTGAATGCCAGAGTCTCTATCCTGGCTGCGGCTAATCCTGCTTATGGCCGCTACAACCCCCGCAAATCGGTGGAACAGAACATACAGTTACCTGCTGCCCTGTTGTCTAGATTTGACCTGCTGTGGTTGATTCAAGACAAGGCCGACAGAGAAAATGACCTGAGGTTTGTATTTTCTAATGGTAGCACATTTGCCTGCAGTCTTTTTAGTCGTAACCTAATATTGCGATGTGAAGTAAGGGGAATCTTTAATAGATACACTTCCCTATCCACAACCTTGTCCGTAGTCTCAGAATAAATTTGACGCAGGAAATTTTTTTTCATAAATCTAGGGCATTTCCAAAATTCCAAGTTAGAAGAGGAGGCGACTAAGTAATTAATACTAGATAACTCACTGTGCGTTTCGTATGTTCTTCTTTCACTTAATCGGCTACATTAATTCAGCAGAACCCCATTAACCACGATTTCTAAAAGGCTGAAAACAAATCAAGGGTTCATGCTAAAAAACTGTGCTAACTGGGACAAATAATACACCCTGTGTTAGAACCTGTTCATGTTAACAGAGGTGTTTTTAAGTAAATTTACCTGGTGTTGAAAGTGAATATTTGGCCTTAGTTTGCCAGAAAATGTTCTGAGAAGTTTAGTCAGCTGGTATGTTTTCGTCCCACAGTTTTTCTAGAATGTTGATTGGTCTTAATAAAAATGGAGATAGCCCAGTTTGCCTGTTTTTCTTTCTTGTTTCGAAAGCAAAGTTTGTGAAATAAAAGGAAACGGTGTGCAGAAATTTACTGTTGTAGCTGATTTCATTTCCAGTCAGCACAAATATGGCTGTAGCAGAAAAACACTGTACCCTTGTTAGTTTTTTTTTAACAACCGCTTTCAGGCTGAGAAATTATGAAAATATACATGAAAGACTAGGAAGCGGATGAACATCGCTGCGTGCAACAAAGCCTTACATATGATCACAACGTCTAAAATGAGAATGGAGGTGGAGGCAGTAGCTGTAGCCTTTTGCTGGCTTGAGAATCAGCTTTACACACATGCTGTGGTTGTAACTGACTCACAGAGCAAGTTGAGAAAGGTGGAGACTTGCATGATCTGTGCAGAGTGGCAAGCATCACTTCAAAGTTCCGGGGTAGTTAGCATCCTATGCCGATGTGTTAGGAAATGAGTTGGCTGGTTCCACACCGATTGGTGAACAATTGATGTATGACAGGCTAGATATTGTGAGGGCCCTTTGGGAGCAAGTGAACAGTGCAAAGGCACAGATAGATCATTACAGTCTGAGGAGAATGGCACTGCAAAGAGTTACCAGGGGTCTAGCCGACGCTCAGCTGTCAAGGGACCGGTGAGATGGATATGCAGTCAGACAGTTACTGGTACCATTAGAACTGGAACTCTTTGCTTGCTGCTGAAGATGGGGTCGGAGCACATATGGGATTGTTTCAAGTGCTGTGATATCGATTCCTAATTCAACATAAAAAAGTTAAGTTAATTCCATATCCTTGACAGGATGTTGCAGAACCAAAACCCAACATTGTGGACTGTTGTGGGTTTTCTAGGCAAATTTGTGTCCAGTAGTTTGCCATTGCTTTCTGGACAGTCCGCTTCTCGACATTGCGAAGCGCGATCGCAACGCCTAAGCCACAGACGGCGACAACATAAGGAAGCAGACACTAATCAAATGCTAGTTTAAGTTGGGTGTCCGGGGTCTTTGTGCACATGCATAGTCAAATGTTTTGGAATATAAATATCACTTTATAACAAATTGGTTTGCATTCCAGTAATTTTTTTGTTCCATGTGTGTTTTTATATACCACAGATTCTAACCATATTGTTATGTAATCACAGATTCTAACCATGTTAATTTTAATCACAGATTGTTGTTTTTTATTTAATCACAGATTTAATCCATTCTAACCATATTGTTGTTATTTAATCACAAATTCTAACCATATTGTTGTTATTTAATCACAGATTCTAACCATATTGTTGTTATTTAATCACAAATTCTAACCATATTGTTGTTATTTAATCACAGATTCTAACCATATTGTTGTTATTTAATCACAAATTCTAACCATATTTTTGTTATTTAATCACAAATTCTAACCATATTTTTGTTATTATTAAATCACAGATTCTAACCATATTGTGGTTATTTAATCAACAGGCTGGCCCAGCATATCACTTACGTTCATCAACACAACATTCATCCGCCTCTCACATTCCAGCCACTGGATATGAAATTGATGAGGTTCGTTTTGGTTATTGTATTCATTTATTTGGTGTCATTTATTCTTTATTTGGTGTCATTTATTATTTATTTGGTGTCATTTATTATTTATTCGGTGTCATTTATTATTTATTCGGTGTCATTTATTATTTATTTGGTGTCATTTATTATTTATTTGGTGTCGTTTATTATTTATTTGGTGTCGTTTATTATTTATTTGGTGTCATTTATTATTTATTCGGTGTCATTTATTATTTATTTGGTGTCGTTTATTATTTATTTGGTGTCGTTTATTATTTATTCGGTGTCATTTATTATTTATTTGGTGTCGTTTATTATTTATTTGGTGTCGTTTATTATTTATTTGGTGTCGTTTATTATTTATTCGGTGTCGTTTATTATTTATTTGGTGTCATTTATTATTTATTTGGTGTCATTTATTATTTATTTGTTGTCGTTTATTATTTATCTGGTGTCGTTTATTATTTATCTGGTGTCTTTTATTATTTATCTGGTGTCGTTTATTATTTATTTGGTGTTGTTTATTATTTATTTGGTGTCATTTATTATTTATTTGGTGTCATTTATTATTTATTCGGTGTCGTTTATTATTTATTTGGTGTCATTTATTATTTATTTGGTGTCATTTATTTATTTGTTGTTATTTATCTGGTGTCATTTATTATTTATTCGGTGTCTCATTATTTATCTTATTTATTTTTTTTGGTGTCATTTATTTTGGTCCCATTTAAATGGTGTTTTATTTTGGTCCATTTGTTAGAAAACAAAGAATACACCCATGGTCCAATAACAAGCATTTTGTTGGAGGCAGCTAATTGGTAGTCTTTCCTTCAAAGTTGTAGTGCATCTGCCTGAGACACACAGAACAGTCTGCATATAAATAAGCTAGATCTGTAAAATGGATTTGCACACAAAACTCAAGTTCTGGAACAAGACCAAAGTCCAAAAGTGGACGAGCCACCAGAGCATTCCACAAGTGTTTACAGCCGGTGAACGCTATGGAAAAGAGTCCCTTCCCACACAATTTGAAAAATGGTCTGTTACCAAATTTTATGAGGTAGAGATAGACCTCCACAGTGGTTTCGACTATTGAATAACAGCAATGTTTTAGATGTACGAACATAAGTATTTCATTGTGTAAAAGACAAAGTCCAAATGTCCTCTACCAATGGCCTCACTCTTTATAGTGCCGACAAGGTCCAAATGTCCGTCCCATTGGCCTCTCGTCCCAACAAGACTTCACTTGTCATATCACTGGTCTAGTGGGACCAACCAGGGAAGCCATGTCTGATGCATGCTTTTCCAATATTTTTATGGTAAGTGTCATGCAACAACGTTAATGATATCTAACGTCCTGAAAATTATTGTGCCCATTTCTGTGGTCATCGAAGTCCTTGACCTGCGGGCTGCTTCCTGTTGATCTTCAGAGGTTGTAACCCACAATGAGTGGAAAGCTAAACAAACGGAAATGAGATTAAGCTGTCAGTTTCTGCCAGAGTTTACAGCCGTGAACATGAGGAAGAAGAAGGTGGTTCGATTTCACAGGTAAATTTTTTTTACTGATGAGGTAGCTAGCTCCTGCCAACCAGTCTTAGTTTATCTTTTATGACAAACACGATAGAAGATTAAATTTTTTCAGTATTGTTTATTTCCCTTTTGATCTGTTTGTTGCTTCTGTTCTGCCACTCAATTTGTTTTAGCATTTAAAAAAAATCGCCCCTTAAATTTTTTTCTGTCATTCTGTTGCAGGCGATACATTAGCCTCTGCAAGTCTAGAAACCCTACAGTTCCTGAATCTCTGTCAGACTACATCACAGGCGCTTACGTTGAGATGAGAAAGGAAGCACGCAACAATAAAGATATGACCTTTACCTCTGCTCGTACACTCTTGGCTATACTGCGGTTGGCTACTGCACTTGCTCGTTTGCGTTTGGCTGATACTGTAGAAAAGGAGGATGTAAATGAGGCGATGAGGCTGATGGAGATGTCACGTGATTCTCTGAACTCTATGCACGAGGCTCAGAGCAGGTGCGTAGATATCACTTCTGGCGTGGCTTGTGTCAGTTTGTCTCGATTATTTATTATTTTTAATGTTGGCGAATGTATTTCTTGAGTGATTCTCAGTTTTGATACTCTTTGTTGTTTTGTTTACACATTGCAAAATAGTCATCATCATCCTCATAAACCACTTTTGCTGTTAAGTGTCGTGGGGAGGAATACTTTTACGATCCAGTGCACTTTGGCTGCCACTGGCTATTATCATGCCATTAAGGCATAGAGTGTCTTTAATGTTGTCAATCCATTTTTCCGTGGGTGTCCTCTTGCTCTTGTAGCTGATCTTCTGAGATGAAGTGCTCGTGATGGTATTTGATCTTGATGCATTCTAACGAGATGGCCAGACCACTTGATCTGCTGTTTCTCAATAAATCTAGTACAAGGTGTCGTTCTCACAGTTTGCCTAAGTTTCATTATTCACTCGATCTCGGATGGTTAGGTTGCATAATAATATTAAAAGTAAATATCCTATTTCCATGCCTTTGATCCAGTTGGGCATATTGTGCTTACCCCATATTTTTTAAATAGACTATCTGGCACTGAATGGCTGATGTGGTGGTCCATCACCTTTTACTTTTCCAACATTTCCCGTATCTCGCTTTGGTAAAAAGAGCAGAAAATTCTAACAATACAAATAAAATTACGGTAGAAACAATCCTATATTCCAGGTATGTTTAGCTCAGGCTCAAAACGTCAAAGATTGGGTCATCAGAGGCGTGAGCCCTGCTTGGAAAGATCGGGTCATCAGAGGCGTGAGCCCTGCTTGGAAAGATCGGGTCATCAGAGGCGTGAGCCCTGCTTGGAAAGATCGGGTCATCAGAGGCGTGAGCCCTGCTTGGAAAGATCGGGTCATCAGAGGCGTGAGCCCTGCTTGGAAAGATCTGGTCATCAGAGGCGTGAGCCCTGCTTGGAAGATCGGGTCATCAGAGGCGTGAGCCTGCTTGGAAAAGATCGGGTCATCAGAGGCGTGAGCCCTGCTTGGAAAGATTCTGGTCATCAGAGGCGTGAGCCCTGCTTGGAAAGATCTGGTCATCAGAGGCGTGAGCCCTGCTTGGAAAGATCTGGTCATCAGAGGCGTGAGCCCTGCTTGGAAAGATCTGGTCATCAGAGGCGTGAGCCCTGCTTGGAAAGATCTGGTCATCAGAGGCGTGAGCCCTGCTTGGAAAGATCGGGTCATCAGAGGCGTGAGCCCTGCTTGGAAAGATCTGGTCATCAGAGGCGTGAGCCCTGCTTGGAAAGATCGGGTCATCAGAGGCGTGAGCCCTGCTGGAATTTGATCGGGTCATCAGAGGCGTGAGCCCTGCTTGGGAAAGATCGGGTCATCAGAGGCGTGAGCCCTGCTTGGAAAGATCGGGTCATCAGAGGCGTGAGCCCTGCTTGGAAAGATCGGGTCATCAGAGGCGTGAGCCCTGCTTGGAAAGATCGGGTCATCAGAGGCGTGAGCCCTGCTTGGAAAGATCGGGTCATCAGAGGCGTGAGCCCTGCTTGGAAAGATCATTAGGTGACTTGCATGCTATCCCTGAGGTCTTGGGTTCACATCTGCAATAAAGATGATTTAAAAAAAAAAAACACACACACCAAATAATTGACCTAGACTGCCAGGTCAAATCAGTCTGTAAAGAACAGCAAGCAGTGTCCCAGACGGTAGAGCCGGCCAACATGATGTAGTCGACATAACCCAGTGAGTACCAGGTCAAATCAGTCTGTAAAGAACAGCAAGCAGTGTCCCAGACGGTAGAGTTGGCCAACATGATGTAGTCGACATAACCCAGTGAGTGCCAGGTCATGTCAGTCTGTAAAGAACAGCAAGCAGTGTCCCAGACGGTAGAGTTGGCCAACATGATGTGGTCGACAGTAACCAAGTGAGTTGCCAGGTCATGTCCAGTCTGTAAAAGAACAGCAAGCAAGTGTCCCAGACGGTAGTGCTGGCCAACATGATGTGGTCGACATAACCCAGTGAGTGCCAGGTCATGTCAGTCTGTAAAGAACAGCAAGCAGTGTCCCAGACGGTAGAGTTGGCCAACATGATGTGGTCGACATAACCGAGTGAGTGCCAGGTCATGCCAGTCTGTAAAGAACAGCAAGCAGTGTCCCAGACGGTAGAGCCGGCCAACATGATGTGGTCGACATAACCCAGTGAGTGCCAGGTCAAGTCAGTCTGTAAAGAACAGCAAGCAGTGTCCCAGACGGTAGAGCCGGCCAACATGATGTGGTCGACATAACCGAGTGAGTGCCAGGTCATGCCAGTCTGTAAAGAACAGCAAGCAGTGTCCCAGACGGTAGAGCTGGCCAACATGATGTGGTCGACATAACCCAGTGAGTGCCAGGTCATGTCAGTCTGTAAAGAACAGCAAGCAGTGTCCCAGACGGTAGAGCTGGCCAACATGATGTGGTCGACATAACCCAGTGAGTACCAGGTCAAATCAGTCTGTAAAGAACAGCAAGCAGTGTCCCAGACGGTAGAGTTGGCCAACATGATGTAGTCGACATAACCCAGTGAGTGCCAGGTCAAATCAGTCTGTAAAGAACAGCAAGCAGTGTCCCAGACGGTAGAGCCGGCCAACATGATGTGGTCGACATAACCCAGTGAGTGCCAGGTCATGTCAGTCTGTAAAGAACAGCAAGCAGTGTCCCAGACGGTAGAGCTGGCCAACATGATGTGGTCGACATAACCCAGTGAGTGCCAGGTCATGTCAGTCTGTAAATAACAACAAGCAGTGTCCCAGACGGTAGAGTTGGCCAACATGATGTGGTCGACATAACCCAGTGAGTGCCAGGTCAAGTCAATCTGTATAAATAATTTTGTTGGGTTTTGTTTCTTGTCCACAGGAGCATGAACCCTATTGATCAGATCTACCAAATTATCCGAGATATGGTGCCCGCCGCTGGGGTAAAATCAATCAAACTGTCAGATGTGCTGGAGCTGTGTACCTCCAAAGGCTTCAAACCGGACCAGATACATGCATGTATCGAGGAGTATGAAGATCTGAATGTGTGGCAGGTCAACACAGCTAGAACAAGACTGACTTTTATATAAGTCTGTCAACTTTCTTGTTTATATTTCCTGTGTCGTTCAGCTCTTTGAAAATTGTGCCCTCTTCTTGAAGTACATTATATGAGAGTAAAATTTCACATTTTAAAATGTTCTTTCGTTTTATCATCTCAGTTATCTATGATCTTTTATGTAAATCAATCTGAAAAAAAATCTTGCTTGTCACGATTTTCTGTTTCACTCATCGCTTCTCAAGAGGTATCATGACTCTGCCTATGCTTTTCGAGAATGTTATTTTTCTTTGTTGTATTAAAAAAAAAAAGATGTGAACTCAAATTCAACTTAATTATATCAGCTTTTTTATATTCAGCTGATTTTTTGGCTGCTTACATTAACAGTATTTAAATAGCACATGTTTTCGTAACCTCAAAGCTGGAGAGTTAGCATCAGATGTGATGACCATTTGCATTTTAGGCAGCAACTCAGTTATCGTTTCTAGGCAACAATTTTAATGAAATCTTTGTTATCACTTTTTCTCTTGCCAGTAACACCTTTCTTGAAGCATTAGATGCATTTTTTTTGGGGGGGGGGGGGGGGGGGGGGGGGGTTCAGTTTCCTTTGTTTCAGGCGCAATATACTCAATTTAGCTGCCACTTATGGTACCATTTGTTCAATAGGGCACATTTACTTAACTTCAAAGGTGGAGAGTTCATTTGAGTTAACAACTTTTAGGATATTTTCCATAGTAAAAATTGGCTTTGAGAAGAAGGAAGAGAGGATTGAAATTAGTTTACCAGGAAATGGCAAGACCTCACTAAAAAGAGCTCTTAAAATATTTTTACCTGATATTAGCAGTTAAATTGAGTTATGTGATTCTGTTAGTGGAGGAATTGCCACTTCTAGACATAGTTTCAGGAAAGATGTTGCTTGCAGCGAGCCAGTCTGGGGGGGGGGGGGGCCAGGGGGCATAAGAAGCACCAATGTTTAAATGTCTAACTCATTTCTTCCTTCCTTTTGAGTGCTTGATAACAAGAATCTTATAAAATGATAATGCCAAGAAAGCTATTTGTTTATTACAGTTACAACACTTATAGTCTTCAAACTTTCAGATTTGTTTTCAAAAATCCTTCCTAATGTAACTTTAAAAAACCTCAATGTAAGGCACAGTCCCCCAAACATGGGCTTTCTGATTATACAGAAGCCATGCTTACACTCATAAAACTGGGTTTTTGGGACATAGGATCCAATGTAATCTCGTTTTAGTGTTGTGCTGATTATAATTGCTAGTACAGTTTTTTTTTTTTTTTATTTGTAGCATGTGTGTTGAAGGATTACTCTTTATTTGATTACAATATTATTATTTAGCTGTTGTTTGCTATGCATCTCTTCCAGCATGGGTCATAAACTGGACAGTGCACTTGAGATCTTTCAGTGCCATTGTTCTTGTAGACAGTGCACTTGAGATCTTTCAGTGCCATTGTTCTTGTAGACAGTGCACTTGAGATCTTTCAGTGCCATTGTTCTTGTAGACAGTGCACTTGAGATCTTTCAGTGCCATTGTTCTTGTAGACAGTACTGAAGATCAGTGCCATTGTTCTTGTAGACAGTGCACTTGAGATCTTTTATTGCCATTGTTCTTGTAGACAGTGCACTTGATCTTTCAGTGCCATTTTTCTTGTAGACAGTGCACTTGAGATCTTTCAGTGCCATTTTTCTTGTAGACAGTGCACTTGAGATCTTTCAGTGCCATTTTTTTTTGTAGACAGTGAAACTGACTTGAAAATATTGTATCTTCTGAAATGCAAATTTTTTTTGACCTATCTTTATTTCTATTACAATTCTTCTTTTTGATGTTATTATTGCTGTTAAATATTTGTATTTGACTCGTTGGAGCATTTTTCCTTTTAATTGTAATGGCACATTTTGGAACCAGTGTTTCAGTTTTATTGATTTTTTTGAGTCATTTCTCACCCTCTGTTGCTAGTTGAACAATTGCTGCAAATCTGTTTTGCAATTTAATCTCTCATTGTATGTTATCTGCACAGCATAGACTAAATATATATTTTTTGCGACTCGTATTGCTAGAATATCTTTGATCTTGTGTTTCCCTTTAGAAATGAAAATATGGCGACATACTCATCCTTATCAAACTTCATTCTTTATCTGTTTACAATATCCATCTGTGTTTTGTTTTTGTTTTCATTACTGGTTTGCAAACTTGTCTGAAAATATTGTCTGTCTGAATAAAAAACTGAGCATGTTAAAAAAAAATAATTTTTTTTTTTTAGTGCTTTGTTATTTAATTAAATGTGTTAAGTTGCTGAGTAGTTTAATGTAATTAATGACACACTGACAGATGGACACTGACAGATGGACACTGACAGATGGACACTGACAGATGGACACTAACAGATGGACACTGACAGATGGACACTGACAGATGGACACTGACAGATGGACACTGACAGATGGACACTGACATGATGGACACTGACAGATGGACACTGACAGATGGACACTGACAGATGGACACTGACAGATGGACACTGACAGATGGAAATGTAACTGCTGTTTTATGGGTCATCAAAGTAAAGTTGTATTCTGATAGATCTGTGGTAAATTAAACATTTACAGCAAATGTCCTGATTTGGTAATATTTTTGCAGACTTTTATGTGTGTGTGTGGGGGAAATTACAGTGACTCTGCCCGTTAAGATAATTATTTAGTCTTCACATTTTGTCAGAATGATATAGTTGTGGAGTACCTGTTGACAGCGAAGTACGATATTTGCACCTTTTGACACATCCAACTTTTCTGGGTATATGTTGTCCAGTTTAGCCATCTGTGTTAGTTTCCTGGGACAGTGCACAGCCTTATTTTGTTTTGTAGTATTTGCCATCTGGCCCACAAACATTTTCTTTTTAAGGACATTAGAATATTTTTTGCAGACAGCCGGCACATACAAAACGGCTTTAGGTAGTTTGAGAACCACTGCTTTAGATGGTTGACTTGACATAATTATGATTGGCACAACTACCAGTCAACAGGACATGACACATCAGTCGTCCTTCAACATGACTGTTGATGCAGATTCACAACGTTCACTCCTTACTCTATGTCTGCTTTTATGTCTTCTTGCTCTGGGGTCCTGTCACAGAATGACTCGCTATTCAGCAATCCCCTCAGGTCTCCTGTTCTCAAGTTAGCTCACACTATCTCGTGTTTTGCTATTCTCACATCGACTTCATGTCCCTTCAAACCTCTGGCTTTCCCCAATTTTACCACCCAGTCAAACCCCTTACATTAATCTTATATTTAGCACCTGCAATTGAGGTAAATTAAAGTAATTTCGAAGCCACAGAGAGTGCTTACTGTAAAAAAAAAAAAAGTAAAGGACCCTTTCCACGCCTTTAGGCGTATAGGGCATATAGGGCTAGACATATATTTTTATAGACCAACGGCACAAGATGGGTGATGTAGTCAGCATCACGCCGGCCGCCTCTACTTCCCGGGATTGCACCCGGTACGCACTTAAGGCTGGGTCGACCTGGGAGCCAAGGTCATTTTTGAAGAAAAGTCCGTCTCCGTGCTTACTGTAACAAGGCAATAATGTAAAAAATGATATCAGGCCGCTAGATTGGTTGCTGCCACTCCTCTGAGCAGTGAGCTACTTAATGATAAAGCGGACATGGTGAAGGTTCTCTAGAATGATATCGATAGTGCAGTAGAACAGATAATCTGCACACTGGAAAAATAATTCGGAAAAGGGGTGGGGGTAAGCGTTGTAGAGGTTCTGAAAGATATTCAACACTGAGAAGTAAACAGGTGGACTTTTTAATCGGTAGGAACTGTAACTATTATTATCATGTCGATTCTCTTTTGGAAACTACTGATGAAGGAGATTGAGCACCTGTGGGAATGTATCGAACGCAGTGTTGTCAGTTCTTGATTCATTCATTACTTACAATAATATCCTGCTTGACTTGCCAGGCATGTTCACTTAAGCTAAAAAAAAAAAAAAAAAAACAAAAACACAACTTGTAATTAAATCTGAGTTTATTTGCAGAAAGTCTGTAGATATTTCATTGTATTTATGTAATTCAGTTGTGTTATGGGAAATCCTGGTAACTAATTTGAGATACGTTCCCAGTTCAGTGTTTTTTTGGTAATTAAATAGGAGTTCTGAGCAACTTGTATTGTTCTTTACGTTTACAAGCTTCTGAATCTGGTAGCAGAAATACTCATCTCATGACTCTCTGTCCATGTCCAGTGGCTGTAAATAATGCAAAAGAATGAACTCTCCTAAACTGGAAAACAGTTTTTAAGAATTACATAGGACCACTCCTGATTTATGGAGGTGAATCATAGACAGTCAGAAAGAAATAGGGAAGCTGCAGAGATCTGGTTTTATAGAAAAAACTGCGCACATACAACAATTTTATGATGTCTTTAAAGAAATTAAAGCAAAGAAGACAGATTAACAACAGCACAAGGTGACAATCTATAGTCTTCAGGTCCACGATTCGTGAAAAAACTGCTGTACATTGAGGCAACAAGAGAGGTGGAGGAGAAAAGAGGTTGAGGAGATCAACAGAGATGACATTTAAAATTTTTTAAAAAATGTTTATAAGATGTTTCCATGGATAAGACGATCTCCTAATTTCTTGTTTGCTCAAAGTCAAGAAATAAATATTTTAAATACAATCTATTTATAAGATGACTCCCAATTTCAAATTAAAAAAATTGTGGGAAAACAACTTTTACACACAAAAAATAAATATGGTAATTAAGCATGGAGAAAACCTATACATCAGAAGTGACTGCCAGTACCAGGGACAGAAGGCTGTGTACATTTATGATTACCAATACCTTATGTCACGGACTACAAGAAGAAAGAGCAGAGAAAGTTAACATATTCAGCTACAAATTCTCAAGGTGAATGAATAATACATTCAAATGTCTCTTCCTTTTCCTAAGGTCACTATAAAAAAGGTGAAGGTCCCTTTATACGCGTGGCGTACTGGGCATATCAAGCTAGACCAACC